GCCTAGTAGGTAATTTGCAGATTACCTAGATAATCTGAACATTACCTAGGTAATTTGAGAAATGGAATAATTTTCGCAGCTTTTACGGATCACTCTAGTTAATCTGCAGATTAGCTAGGTAATGTGGACATGAACGGATTTCGAGCTTTAGCGGTAACATATATACTTTAAAAAGCGTTGCATTGTACTTTGAAAAGCGTATGCTTTCAATCACAAAGTAGGTGCATATTACAGTATTTTCATATATTCAAAAGCAATGATGACAAATAAACAATTGTTATCATTTTTTTAATTTAAATTTTTAAAATTGATATGAAAAGGATAAAAAAAGTAAGGAAATACTGTGTTTATTTTATATATGCATTAAAATAGTATAAAAAAACTTAAGAAAAATTGTTTATCAATAAAATGATAATATAAAATGATGATATATTTGATAATAAAACTATATTTAAAAAGCAATAGCAAGACTATTATTTTACATGTAGTTATTTCGATAAAATTCAATGAACTTAAATTTTGATTTTGAACACGTAGAAACACTTTTGCGTTGCGCGTAATATTCGTTTTCACAAAAATTTCATCTGGCCTATTAGTCCCCCCTTATTCAGATTCTAGATCTGCCGCTGGTCACGGGTGCCACAATTTGTTATTTTTCAATTAGGTGTGCCACTCAATGAAAAAGGTTGAAAAACACTGATCTAGATGTTCTTAGAAGTGGGTCAAAAACGTTTAAGTTTTATGTGGTAACTGCAAATCTATACAAGGTTAGTGCAATGTATTTGCAATTATTGCTGTTTATTAGATGGATTTGAAAAAAATAAATGCTTAAATTTCACTGAGTTAGCCAGTTTTTTAAATTGTAATATTGTCATGGAAAGTACACAGAATATTTATTTTGAATAATGTTTTATATGAAATAAAAAATTATTTTAAAAACACAGTAATTATTTTTAAACTCCAGGGTACACAACAAGAACAAAGTGTGTTTGATGTGTTGATTTCTTCTAAGCATGTGCAAGAGTATTACATAGAAAACTACACAGTGTTAACAAAAAGAAACAAATAACAATATAGTTTCAAAATTACTATTAATAATAATAAGAAATGTCATCAATTTTAATCAGATATAAATAAACAGATGTGTGTGTAATACCAGGTTGTTCAATAAGTTTTGTCGTTCGATAAGAGGTGGCGCTACTAGGAGCGTCACTTTATTATTCTATAAATAGTACTACTATTTCATAAACACGTGTCAAGTTTCAAGTAGATCCGTCAACTCATTGTATATTTGCAGCTGTTCAAAGTCGACGTGTCATTGTATTTTTTTACGATGGAAAAAATCGAATATCGTGCAGTGATAAAATTCTTATTTTTGGAAGGTGTAGCACCAAAACAAATTCATGAACGATTGTTAAAAGTGTATAAGGACTCTTCACCTTCAATCAGAACAGTAGAAAGATGGGTTGCTGAATTTAAACGTGGTCGTACGAGTCTTGAAGACGATCCACGTGAAGGGCGTCCAAAAAGTGCATCAACACCAGAAATCGTAGCAAAAATACAGCATATGGTTTTGGAAGATCGTCGATTAACCGAGAGAGATTTAGTAGAAGCCCTAGGGATTTCGTTAGGCAGTGTGAGCAATATTTTGGCCGAAGTTTTGGGTTACAGAAAGCTGTGTGCACAATGGGTGCCGCATTCGTTAACTATGGAACAAAAACACATTCGAATGCAACTTTCTCAGCAACATTTGGAGCGTTTTAGAAAGGATAAAAAGGATTTTGTGCGTCGTTTCATCACTATGGATGAGACATGGGTCTACCACCATGATCCTGAATCAAAACAAGAGGCTAAAGAGTGGTGTGAACCCGGTACTTCGGCTCCGAAGCGTGTTAGGGTCCAGAAATCGGCCAAGAAGGTGTTAGCATCAGTTTTTTGGGATGCAAAAGGAATTTTGTTTGTGGATTACCTCCAAACTGGTAAAACAATAAACTCAGATTATTATTGTAACCTTTTGGACCAGCTAGATGTAAAAATTCGTGAGAAAAGACCTGGTTTAAAAAAGAAAAAAATCATTTTTCATCAAGACAACGCCCCCTCTCACACAGCTCAAAAAACCATTGCGAAAATCAGTAAATTAAAATACGAATTGTTGCAACATCCTCCCTATTCGCCAGATTTAGCTCCCTCTGACTTCTGGCTGTTCTCACATCTAAAAAAATTCATGCGTGGGAAACGATTTTCATCGAACGAAGAGGTAATAGCAGCCGTGGATGCGTATTTCGACAGTCTTCCGGATTCTCACTTTAGGGATGGAATCCATAAATTAGAAGATCACTGGAACAAGTGTATTGAAGTTCAGGGAGATTATATTGAATAATAAAATGTATTTCAAACCATAAAATCGTGTTTTTCTTATTGAACGACAAAACTTATTGAACAACCTGGTATATAATAAAACTTTATTCATTATGATGATCAGAATAGAATAAATGTTTTTGACTTTATAGTAATAATAATCAAACAAAATTTCTCTCTTGAATCACAAAGGAAAAATTAAATATTTTTCATGCATTGTTTTAAGTCTTGAATGTAAAACATAATTTACAATTAAAATTTGTGTAGTGAATAGATGATATCCAATCGGAATTTACAATTGTAAAGTTTTATAAAGGTAAATATGATGATTTTTTAGCTATTTCTCTTATTACTGGGTAATGTAAGAAAGCTACCAGTAGTGTTACTATTTTTATATTTTACTTTCCTATTAATTAAGCCTCTACCATTCTTATTTAAATTTAGAAAAAAGGAAATTTTCTGTAATTCTTTAAGAGAAACACATACAATTTCTTTTCTACACTATAACACAATGCATCTGAAGACAATATGTTGTTTTGTTTGATAATTTGATGACAATTACCAGAAAAATTGCGTATTGTCTTTGGAAACAAATCCTAGTCAGTCCAACTTCCACTCATTTCAGGATAGTGGACAAAGATGTAGCTATTTGTGCTTGTCTCACAATCAGATGATTATCTCTGCTGATTGCCTGTGTGGGAGCCCAGATCCTGGCTTCCACATATTGTGTGTGCTGAAAACACCTGTTCAGTGTTAGATAGGAACAGTCATTCTACTTCTCTGGTCTTTATGATGCACACTTTCCCAAACTGTGTTAACTGTGTATAATGTCTTTGGACTCTGTCATATTGGCATCTGGTTGTTAAAAGACTGCCAAACAATAAGTACACTGAAAATTCTGACACACAATTTTTTATAAGATACTGAGAGAGTAATTTTAAGTTATTTTGGTGGCATTCTCTGGCATGTAATAAGATTATAACTGGAGGCATTTATGTGTATCTAGTTTTACAGTAATCAGACAATTCTATTTGGATTTATAATGTTTGTCAATGAATGTATTTTGCATTGATATGTTAAACTATTTATCAAGCAAATATCTTTGAAATATATATACAGTAGAGCACCTATCATCCGAATACCGATCAACTGAAACATCGGTTACCTGAAAGTGTTCCTATCAGAAAATTCAAATTTCACCAGTACTGTGGCATTGCAACACTCTCCTGCTCCCTGCCAACCTAACTAGTTTAATGTACAGTGCTACTAATGTAAGATATGTATTTGAAAGACGTGTGATACAAATTATATGCAGTACAGTTTTGTGTTTAATATAGTTTTCGTAAATGATCAGTTATCTGAACAAACCCAGTCTCAAATTCTTTTGGATAATCAATGCTTTACTGTATATATAATTTTATGATTGGCTTTGTAAATAATGCAACATAATATTTTACTTTGATAACTATTGAAATATACTACTGTATATATATATATATAATGCCTCTCTTCCATTTGTTTTACAGCTCTCTCTTTTACAACTGGAATAGTATTTTATTATAATTATATAAAATAATTATTTAAACATTATATACAGTCAACCTCCTCCCCATAACGCAGCAGATACGTTCCACTTTATATGAATTTTGCATTGTAGGAATCCGTAAATACATGAGTCAATCACAGCCCGGCACGTGTGCAGTTTACGGACTACAGCTGTTTGAAAGGTTTTCTTCCATAAAATTAATAGATTCTAGACTAATTTGACCCAACATTTCCAAAATGTATAATTTTTTGGGAATAATCCATATAAACTATGCTAAAAACAAAAAATTGTAGGATTACTTACCGAGAGTGCACCGTTCAACAACGCCTATGCTTAAGCTTGTTTTTGTCACAGAGCAGTGCACCAAATGGCGGGCGTGTTTTCTGATAAGTTATTTTTCTGCAGAAAATTTGTTGAACTTTGGAGACATCATTAATAGAAATATAATTTTTATGGCCGTTAAATAAAATGTTTTTTCATAAGAAATGTATAAAATTACAGTACTGTATTAGACTTACAGTACCTAATTTATATACTGTACAGATGATAGTAAACTGAACTTACTCGCCTAAACTCTCGGTAGTGTGTAAGTAGTTCGGCTGCTCGTCCACTATTGGTCCAGATTCGACCAATCCTGTCACGATACGAGTCGGCGATGACGTTTTACCGCATTTTATGAGTCTCTTTTAGCGTCTTTATACGAATACAGTCGCAATTTTTTCGCTGCGATATACGAATCCGCGTTATATGAACCCACGTTATATGAGGGTCTACTGTATTTCTATTTGCTAATTTGTATAATAATATGTGGTTCAAATAGGAATGCAACTGTAATTTTTGCACTTTCTATTATAAATGAGAATTAGCTTAAGATGATTTCTGAGGAATCAGTTAAACTGTAAATGTTGAGATGTAATGTATGGATCATAAAAATATATATATTTTTCCTTTTTTCATTTTTTCTTTTCTCCTTATACTTTGTATTTACTCTCTCATGTTTAATTCTTTTATAACTATGTTCATTGTTTATTTGTTTAGCTACAAAGTGTAAGAAGTATTTAAGAAGTGGTTTAAGGGATGTGCAGAGTAGAATAAGGAAAGGCAAAAGAGGGTAAGTAAATTCTTACACTATAGTAATTTGTTAATCAACTTTCTTTCTATAACCTGAAAAAAATCTATTTTGTCTTTTCAAATATAAAATTCTTTAAACTTTCATTTTTGTTTGCCAACTTCAGCTATTCTTTCAATTATCATTATTATATTACTTTTATAATGAAAGACTCAGCAATACAATAAAACTATAATTTTCATTTTAAAAAACCAAACAGTTATCAGATTAAATTGGGCTACATTATCACTACTAATAATTATTAAACACTGCACTAGGGGTAGGCATTAGGTGCCATCTTTTATTGAATTTAAATTACTTAATTTAAATGATTACTAAATTAGATTTCTAATTGTTTGACCTTAACATAATTATTGGGATTTGAGATGCTTAAAAAACGGATTGTAGTAATTTAAATTAACTAAAGCAATTTTAATATAAACATTCATGTGTTTCAAAAGTTTCTAGCATCATTTTCAAATGCATTATATGATTTTTGTTTTAATGAAAGTCAAATAACAAATTTGAGGACAATGCTGAAGGGTATAACATGGAAGTTGTGTTGTTTTTATGTTTAAATCATTTTGAATCCAATAAATGAATATTTTTAAGTTTTTATTTGAGCTTTTGTAGCATTGATTAACATTATATTAATGCTAAAAGGCTTTGAAAATATTTATGTAATGTTAAATTAATACTTCTTTAGTTTTGTTTAAAAGTATTTTTATTTTATTCTGAGAATTTGTGTATATAAGTTATTATGACAAGCAGTAGTAAATATCAAAGGAGAAATGTAAAACAAACTAGTCTTGTATTATTTAATTATAAACAATACATAAAAGTTACAAACTGAAATNAATATAAAATTCTTTAAACTTTCATTTTTGTTTGCCAACTTCTCAGCTATTCATTCAATTATTATTATATTACTTTTATAATGAGAGACTCGGCAATACAATAAAACTATAATTTTCATTTTAAACAGTAATAAATTTTAAAAAAGCAAACAGTTACCAGATTAAATTGGGCTACATTATCACTACTAATAATTATTAAACACTGCACTAGAGGTAGGCATTAGGTGCCATCTTTTATTAAATTTAAATTACTTAATTTAAATGATTACTAAATTAGATCTCTAATTGTTTGGCTTTAACATAATTATTGGGATTTGAGATGCTTAAAAAACGGATTGTAGTAATTTAAATTAACTAAAGCAATTTTAATTTAAACATTCATGTGTTTCAAAAGTTTCTAGCATCATTTTCAAATGCATTATATGATTTTTGTTTTAATGAAAGTCAAATAACAAATTTGAGGACAATGCTGAAGGGTATAACATGGAAGTTGTGTTGTTTTTATGTTTAAATCATTTTGAATCCAATAAATGAATATTTTTAAGTTTTTATTTGAGCTTTTGTAGCATTGATTAACATTATATTAATGCTAAAAGGCTTTGAAAATATTTATGTAATGTTAAATTAATACTTCTTTAGTTTTGTTTAAAAGTATTTTTATTTTATTCTGAGAATTTGTGTATATAAGTTATTATGACAAGCAGTAGTAAATATCAAAGGAGAAATGTAAAACAAACTAGTCTTGTATTATTTAATTATAAACAATACATGAAAGTTAGAAACTGAAATTCATTTTTCATTTATTATATTTAATTATAAAGAATACATAAAAATATTACATTTATATTTTTTCTTTAAATTTGTGTATGATGATAAATAAAATACCCTCATTCAAAATGTGAGGTTCCAAAAATGGGTTGAAATTAAACATTTATTATAGTAATTTGGTAAAACAAAACTAGAAAAATTGTCCATTGTTAAAAACCAATCAAAGATCGGATTAGTTGTGCTAGTCGTATGAAACCGTGACGAGAGTAAAAAAAGACGCTATTGATGTAAACAGAATGCAATAATTATAAATGATTAATAATTGTAAATGAATGTTCTCCAGTAGAGATGGACCTTTGACAAGTGGAGTTGTACATTGGATAGTAAATATGGACACAGCATGTCAAGTGACCTTGCTTTGACATCAGTAGGTCATGTGACAATGACAAAGACCAGCCTGGGCATAGTCGAATCATTGATAAATGACCAAACTTAATGTATTAGTTTGTATCTAGCAGTATAATGTGGTGTTACAGTAAATAATTTAGAAAAATCACTTATGCAAGAATATCTCTTACATTACAAAGATATATTGTGGTTTGCTTAAATGTCACACATTAACATAGAGTAAAATTTTACTTTTTTTTTGAAGTTTTATGCAAATATTTAACTTTGTATTATTATACAGGCATATCTCGACTTACGTCGTTTCGAGTTACATCGTTCCCGATTATACGTCGTTTGTCAAAAAAGTATATGGAAAAATAAAAATGAAGTTTAAAGTCGAATAAAATGACTTTACGTCATTTTATTCGACTTTACGTCTGTCCGCCACAAATATTGAAGTCGTAATATCACTATAAAAACGTTTAAAGCACATAAAATCATATTAAAAAATATTTACGAGTATGTTCTGTATTTACAGTACATGCATTTGTAAATTTAGAATACTTTTTTTTGTACTATATTAAAAACTAAAATTTATTTGTTTGTAAGCTTAAAATAGATTTTTATTAACCATATATTATTAAAAATGCATTAATAAATAAAATACAGAACCAGGAATGGTAATTTATGGTTTAGCCTAGTGACAAGTAGATTCGGAGACAAGTAAATTCAACTTACGTCGTTTTTCGACTTACATCGTTCTCCTGGAACCGACATAAGGCGAGGTATACCTGTATATCTTTAATATACTGTAGTTAAAAGGTAAAATAAATAATATAATACTTCAAATTTTTAATATTAATAAATTTATTAGAAAAACAATTACCTAATATGCCAGATTTACAATTAGTTATTACTATTAGAAGATTTATACATAGGCTTATTTACACATTTGAAAATCAAGAAAATTTATAACTTGTCCTTTTCTGTGACAATAGCTGCTGTCAGAGCCCTTTAATTTAGATTGCTGCAGTCTATCTACTTTCTATCAATTCTGATTAGTTTGTTTTTTTTTTGTTGCTCTAACATGTTTTCTAACATCTAATCAACATTTTAGTTAGAAATGTAAACATTTCAACCCATGGCAAACTTCATTAACAACTCAAAAAGCCAATGTCAATCATTCTTAGAACTCCTATAAGAGTCATTCATAAAGAACGACATCTAAAACACATGTTTTTAAGAGTATCATCAGTTGGATAGCTTATTCTGATTCTTAACATTATCCATATTTGGTCATGCATTGGTTGCTTTTTTATTTTGATTATTATTTCATGTTCTTGAGTGTAAATAAATAATTTTTTTGAACAATGTAAGATTATTTTTATTCCTTCAAACCACTGCAATCGATACGTTTTTGTTCACATCGTGCAACAGACACGTGATCTCTATCACTGTTAGTTTTTCTGTTGAAAATAACAATCGTACATTGCATTAATATTTTGGTTTTGGAGATTTTTTGATAATTTTTTTCAGATATATTTGTTTACTGCTATTTATAATTATTACTGGAAGTGGAATATACATATTCTGTCTTAAGACTGTTGATATATATATGTTACTGTGAATAACTGATATCTGGCAAATGTCAACATTTTCCGGTGAATGTCAGCATTCACACAGGGTGTGTTTACTGCTGAGCTAATGGTGCTACTTCTGAACACCAGAAGTGATGTTATTAGCATGAGTATTCGTGCTTACATGTCCAGTTCGAAAGTAAATGTGAACGCTAACAAGAAGTATTGCGGTTTCCTGCAAATAATATTGTTAAAGCAGCTATTTTAAATGTTACGTTACAGATAGAACTACTTAGTTCTGAATCGGACTAGGATATAATTGTAGAAAAAATGAAAAAAGAAAAGTAAGATCAAATAAAAAAGATAGAAACTTTTATTAAAGAGACTCTACCTTTTCATAAGCCAACTGATTTTAAACATCACCTTAGACTTACAAGAGAATGTTTTGAAATTTTCTTCTAAAAAATAAGCCCAATTATAGACACAGAAAAATTACTTCCTCTGGAAGACGACCCGTGTCTCCTCAAAAGCAGGTTTTATGCTGCCTATGGACGTTGGCAAATCAAATATCGTTTAACTTTGTTTATACAAAGTAATAGTAATATATGAAATTAGATGCAGTATATAAGAGGATTGCAGATTATACATATATATAATATGTATTTAATGCAATAAGTTTTACCCAGTGAATAGATGTGACGTTTTTTTATGGTGTAACTAAACTGAGTCGAAAATTAATGAATAATTGACATTACAGTAGAGCGTCGATTAACCGAATCAATTGGGGACGGGTTGTTCCGAAATTGATTTTTCGTATAACCAATTATATATGAAAAAATACATTATTAATTAATAGTATATTAATTATAGTATATTAGTATATCCCAATAATAGTATATTAATATATCCCATGTTTAAATGTTTCTCTGTTGTGTGTTGCTTTGCATTGAATTTTTGCCGATGTTAAGCCTANGGTGCGGACTTACTTTTTTCCGCTTGGGAAGCGCAAGTGTGCGCGAGTTTTTCTACGGCGCTTTTCTTTCGTCGGTGAGTTGGTTTTTCTTCTATTTTTAAGTTACTAAGGTGAATGGTGAGGAAACCTTCGTCTTAACTAAACATAAGCCCCAAACAAAATATAATGAAAGCAAAATAAAAGTAAAATAAAAATAAAGCTCAGACTTGGTTCCTTACAGCATGTCAAGTGACCTTGCTTTGACATCAGTAGATCATGTGACAATGACAAAGACTAGCCTGGGCATAGTCAAACCATTGATAAATGACCAAACTTAATGTATTAGTTTGTATCTATCTAGCAGTATAATGTGGTGTTACAGTAAATATTTTAGAAAAATCACTTATGCAAGAATATCTCTTACATTACAAAGATATATTGTGGTTTGCTTAAATGTCACACATTAA